TAGGAGTGACAGGTTGACTAACATAAAAAATACATGAATGAACATTCTCAATAATGATCTGTGGTGGTTCTGTTTTCATAGTCTGTAGTGGTCCAACACATACCATGTAGTATGTTGGCAGGCATGGCTTTATTTCTTAGAATCACTGAGGCAATCCAAATGTTTATGATTCTCTGCCATTTCAGCTTTGCAGTTTTGCTTCTTTAGCCATGTCCCCATATGGCTTTTCTTTCTGTGTGTGGGCTCCTTTGTTGAAAAATATGTAGATGATATATCCCGCACAAGCATACAGTTTTATTAGTAAAAATACAGAATCCCAGCTCAGATAGTGACTCCATCCTCCATGTTTCTTTGTTCCTTCTTTTACAGTTTTAAATGTATTTCCACATTAAAACTGATGATACAATGTTATATGCCTGGAGTTTCTGAAATGTCTTGATTAAGCAGTTTTCAGCTGGTTATATCACCTTTTTTGTCAAGATTTGTTCTCTTTTCCATTTGTTCATTTTTCAGGTCAGGATTCAGTCTTTAGCAGATGGTATACAAATATTCTCCCTTTCATCCCAATATCTGCTACAATTAAAAAAAGGATGTAGCTTCTTTCTCTTATGCCTGGCCGCCACTTATCTTCCAATGAATCTGAGACTAAATGTGGAGAACAGCTCGTGTGCCATGACCTGGAGATAGTTCAATTCAGTAGGTTAGGGGAATGTCATTCTAAATTTCTATTCTGCAGATAATTTCTCTAAGAAAAAACAAAAACAAAAAACTTCTTTTTCCTTTAAATCACTTTCCCAATATATTCAGTTTCAAATGTTAATGTCTATTTCTTTCCTCTCTCCCTGAAGAAATGCTTTATTATGCCTAATAAAGTCCCTGGCATAATGAAAACGTGATCTTGTTTTTAGTACATAAAACTCAAAAGCAAAGGAATGAAACTTCAGATCTTTTAAATCTTACCAGGTGGAAATATAGCACATAGCCATCCAGCCTAGATGAATACTTTTATTTGTTAAAAAAAAGTAAAACTATTATTTAAATGTTTGTTTCATTTTAAGTTCTTTTAAATTGTTGTTTTTTTTAACTTTAAGTGTCTGCATAAGGCTTTTTTGGGGACTGAGACATTTATATCTATCATTCACCATAGAAAGAGAAGGAAAAGATCACTTTAAAAAGCAAGATTTTAAAGACCATGAACCTTAGAAACCGTTTTCAGTTTTAAAGCAAGAAAAAGAGGCAAAAGTTTGCCAGCAACACCATTACCAGGTAAGAAGGACTGGCTCAAGTCTCATAAATCTGCACCTCCCTGTTCACTTGCGTCATCTGACTGGTGGCTGATCACTCCTGTGAAAGTGTTCTGAAGAAAACATTTCTGCCCACCTTGATAAAGTCTCTCAGAGATAGTTCTGCTTAAGCGTTTCACCAACTTTGACCTTTTCTACACTGCATCGGGGAGTTCTGTCTTGCTATCAACTAGGTTGTAACTTTAAGATGAATACACAGAAGGAGAACAAGAAGCAGACTATTGGTAGAGTCTTACAAATTTCTCCCATATTAATGCTCACTTTGATTTATCCACTGAAATCCAGATTATTGATCTCTAATAGTCTGTCTCCTTTCACTTTCTTTCCTATATGCACCTGCACGGTAAACTTCCTAAAGTTGGCACAATTTATTTTTTAAATATGAATATGCCATGCCACCAAACATTTAGATTCCCCAACTGCCAGGGAGATGGGGAGTTTCATATGCAACCATTGGCATGGTAAGTAAAAATACCATATTGTGTATTGGAAACACATGTATTTAACAAGCAAGTTTTGCTTTGAGAAAAATCTGTCAGTGTTAAATCATCTGTAATTCTTCATTAATTATAACATCAGACTCTATTAATATGCAACAACAAGAGCTGGCAAGAAACTTTTCTAACCAATGATTATCTTTGTGTCTCACAAAGCAAAGAAACCCTAGGGCTACGTCTAGACAGGCATGATTTTCCGCAAATGCTTTTAACGGAAAAGTTTTCCGGAAAAGAGCGTCTAGATTGGCACGGACGCTTTTCCGCAAAAGCACTTTTTGCAGAAAAGCATCTGTGCCAATCTAGACACGCTTTTGTGCAAAAAAAATCTGAGCTGTCTACACTAGCCCTTTTGTGCAAAAGCTTTTGCACAAAAGGACTTTTGCCCGAACGGGAGCAGCATAGTATTTCCACAAGAAGCACTGCTTTCTTACATGAGATCGTCAGTGTTCTTGTGGAAATTCAAGTGGCCAGTGTAGACAGCTGGCAAGTTTCTCCGCAAAAGACATGACACTTATTGTGCTTTATCCAGAGGTAAATCAAGTATTTAATGGGAAATCACAAAAAAATGGGTAGAAACATTAATCCTACCTTTCTGTCATTATGAACTGTTTCTTGTTTGCAACAGCTCTAGTTTCTGTCATTCAGATGACTGCTTTACTCTAGTTTTTTGAATAAATAAAACCTTTTGAACAGAGTAAAAAAAATAGGCTAACCAATTTACATGTAGCTTGAAACACAGTCGTTCAGAATGCTGGGAAAGCATACATTAACCCATATCCTCGTGCAGTGAAGAAATAGGGTTCTCAAACCTATTGCAATTTATCAATCTGCTGCAGAATTCATGATGAACTGCAGAAAGTGGGGAACACAGCTCTATTTGTGCTATGGGATATGCACAGAACCAGGACTGTAATGTGGGCATCACAATCCTTCCACACACAGTTCATTGTAGGTTCAAAGCCAAAGCTTGTATTTGGCATTATTGAATTTAATGAGGGATGACCAATCACAAATCCCTGTTTTGGGAATGCCAAAAGAAAATGAAAAAAAAGAAGGTGAAGCACATGCTGAAATCAATTAACAAAGACACCAATAATTTCTTTTAATAATGAAAACTATACATTCTTTATGGCTTTGTGACCATATGAATTTTCCCAATTGCTATAATTTTAAAAACAATTCAAGGCACACCTGCCTTTTATCTTAACTAAGTAGAAACTTGCACAAAGCTTTAAAAAAAAAAAAAAAAAAAAAAAAAAGGAGGCATCAGCTGACTTTCTATTCTCTAGGAGGGTGACAGTGATTAAAATATACATCTGATAGTGATTAAATGATACACCTGAGTAGATAGCTTGTTTAAAAGCTCTAGCAGGGATTTAAAAAAAGGTATTCCAGGATGAATATATTTCTCTATAAGCATACAATCAGATAAACTCACCCTTCAATTATTTTACTGAAATTTATAAAGTTATATTAGGAATGAATTTGGTCCAGTATTTTTGAATGCTTTTGCCAAAACACTCAGTATGGAAAGAAAGTAGTTGTGGAACCTCTAGTTAGCCAAGTAGGTACAACTACGTTGAATCAAATTACTAACAAGTTACGCCCATGCAATTTAGTACAAAGTCCAGCCTGTTAAGCATTTATTCACAAATATTCTTAGAATTATTTTGTCTGCCCTGCATGTCCTGGCTGAAGAGCTAATTCTAGTAGTTTTGTGGAAAAAGAATCTGCAGGGTGCTAGTTTGCTTATTTATACTGAAATGAAATTCTAGTAGTAATTCTAAATTTGTTCTACCAGACATCAATTCAATAGATGAGCACTGGAGAAGGAGACAATAAATCCTGTTTATGCCGTAGTATGAAGTTTTTATTAACACAAGTTTGGAGTGGTTGTTTGATGTGTAGGTAGTGAAGCCATGAGTCATCCAAGCGAAGGTGCCAATAAAACAAATTTTACACCCAGAAACAGACATTTGTGTACCCGATAGAAGTAATTTGAGAAAAAGAGGAATTAGTGATAAGACCACACGAGCCAGTAAAAGGTGCATGATAAAGGCAAATAAGCGCATCACTTTACAATTTAGTACACAAGTATCACCACACCACATGCAGCGTGTACATACCTCTGCATTATACATATATGTATGTTGTATTTTAATGCCTTTTACTTAAAGTTTTCAATACAACATCAAAATATAAATATTAAATTCTAGGTTTGATTTGAGAAAATTTTCAGACATTGAAATTATGGCTCGACATCTGGCTAATGTTCCAAGAACATGGGCAAAACATCCCTATCCAGAAACCTCTGCAGTCATTGTGAGCCAACTCCTAATCATCAGCAGGACTAAGCACTGTTTTTTAACAGCAGTGTAAAATAATACAAGAAGTTAAATTGAATGTTCTCATCTTTGGAAGTCGGAAAGCAAACCAGGATAGAGAAACTTTCATAGCAAACCAGTAGTACCACAATACTGAATTTAAGGGAAATTCCTATTCAGATCAGCAACAGCATCCATAATAATTCTCCATCATGTTGAATGTTAGTCCACATATAATTGAAGCTGAATCTTCAGAGTCCTCTCTTACTACAATATCTGAACTAGTGCAATTTGGCTGTCTTTTGTCACTCCAATTTAAATGCAAATTAACATCCAAAATCCTGTGTCATACCTACCCAGTCTGGCCTCGCTGGGACACTAGCCGGCCTGGCTGCTGAAAGAGCACTGTGGATACAGGCCACTGGTAAATCAGAGCAGAATTCACATGGAAGACCGCTTTACCTTCTATTGGAAACAAACCCAGACTCAGCTGGCTCCAGGACTAGAGAACTATAAGGCTGGATTAAATCCACCTCTTCTGTACACTATCTTTCATAGATATATTACTAAAAACATATTGATATACATACTATATAGCCTGAGAGCAACTGGTATAAACTGCTTTAACTTCCACTTTTTGCTTTGCAATATACAAATCCATAGCTCATGCACTATTGATGCATAGTAAGCATCATGTTATAAGATGGTAACATACTAAATAAAGCAGCAAACAACATGCAGAGCTTTTGATTGTGGAACAGGCAAAAGGATTTAGAAGAGATCTCCTTCCTGGGCTATGTATTCAGTTTTATGGTGTAAAGAGTTTAAACCTCCATGTAGCTGTTAAGGGAATATATTGTTTTTCTAGAGCTCACCTCTTCTACCATATGTTTGACTTTCTTCTGTTGGCAATGAACCATATCATCCAGATGTTTGATACGTTCTCTAAGACCAGCTGCAACCTCTTCTAGATGCTGTGACCTGATACAAGTTATAAGAACTAAGTAAATATATAGGAAGCCATAATGTGTAAACAAAAAACCAAACAACCTTGCACACACAAGCCCAAACTAGAAAAGGATACAAGGATCCCACTGGCCTTATTTTAGGGGCTCAGCACTTCTGAACAGAGTCGGGGCTTTGTCTTTTATGCCTATCTTTAAAAAGCACCACAGATGTGCATAAAACTATGCTAACCTAAAAAACAGATATTTCTCAGCAACGCAATGTATTCTATGCAATCCATCACCATTGCAATCAATTTATCTCACAAAAAAAGCTTAGAAGGATGAGTTTTTGCAAAATAAATTCAGTTTTCCTGCATAAAATAAGACAAATATGTTCCAGTTGGATAATTCCTTCCCAAATTATTCTACAGTCAACATTAATATAAAAGATTCAGGTTTGATTTTTTTTAACAATGCTTGAAATCTCAGGAAGGAGTAGCAGCTCACCTCTGTTTGTCTGAATGGGTTTGAGATTTTGCTCCCGATATCTGGGTTTCATGCTGTACCAGTTGTTTTTGTAGCTGGTGGCGTTCCTAAACAAGAAAATATAATTTCTCCATTTCTTCTCAATGTAAATTTAAACTCCATTAAATATATTTTATTGTGATTTTAAAAAGGCCTATAGTATGTTAACTAAAATAGAGGCTGATTGAGATACAAATTATTACTAGAACCAAGAAGCACAGAATGAAAAAAACCCCAAAAACTTGAATAATGAGAACAGGGAATATTCATCTGAGCACAAAGATAAACAGCAATGTTTTCAGTCTTCAGCACCAGTCTGCTGGTATCAATGGGCAGTTTTGCTTGCAATTTTGTATTTTGGGAAATGTAACTCTGAAGGATAAAGACGTGTGAACCGAAACACAATTCTGAAAGATCCACAAAGGGACTCCATCCCTCTACAATTATTACAGAGTGAAGATATGATTTCATTTACGGTCTTGGATGCAGAGATTAAATGAAGCACATAACCACTGTTGATTATATGAAAATGAATTTTTCCATATCGTTCCTCCAAAAGGATCTCGATTCAATGTATTTTGCTAGAAATCAGAGGAGTCTTCTTATTTTTCTCCCAAAATTTCCCTGCTTGTACTATTCAAATGTCACCCAGCATGAGTACTGAGAGGATCCATCACATGTAGGGGCTGACCCTACTCCACTACAGTCAGTGTGAGTTTTGCCATTCATGTAAAAGAAAACAGGATTGGGGTCTTAAGAAGCAGCAAAACAAGCACAAGAACAGGAGATTAGAGCTGACTACATAAATTAATGAACCGAAGTAAATTACAAATGCATTTCCTAACACCAAAGACCATAACGCACCACCTTTACTCACTGAATGCTACCTTGTAACCATGAATAACTCCACTAAAGTCAGTGGGATAAAAGGAATCAGTGGCAGACAAATAATGGTCCGCTGGCCAACTCTGGTTCTCCAGGGTTAACCCCGGTGGGGCTGCCACCACTGTATTTACCTGTGCCTCCGTAGGTATGGATGATTGCAGCTCCTGTTGGCTGCAGATCGCCATTCCCAGCAAATGAGAGCAGTGGGAAGCTGTGTTCTGGTCCACAGCACTTCTTGCAGCTCCAATTGACCAGGAAAAGCTATCTATGGCCAACACTTTGCCCATACTGCCGAAGGCTCAGGTACATATAGTGGTAGAGGCCAGCCAGGGGCTAACACTTGTGAAATGCCACCATTTTATTGCCCACCCCTGAATTACGATCTGGTGATTTCTCCAACATTATTGCTAACTGATAAAATAAATGAAGCCATGTCTCAGCTAGATCTTAAAAACTGAGAAGAGTCTACCTAAATACTTACAATGCAATCCACTTCTGTTAGCTGGGCAAAGAGTACATTAACATACTACACATAAATGAAACCAGGGTTAGTAATCCCATCTAGCCAGCAAGTTTGGCCAGTGATGGCTATTTCAGTGTATTAGCAAATAATTAGTGATGCTAGATTTAAATGGAAGCTGAAGTGAAAGCACAAGAACATAGCTTGAAAGAACTGAGTTTTATTATATTTTAGGATTAAAATAACCAACATCCTAAATTTTTGTCACCACTCAGGACAGCCAGCAAGTCCTTACTGCTGCATTATGTCTTTTAGACAGTAAGTTCTTTGCAGGGATTGTATTCACTTTCATATATTGAACAATGCCAAACATGCTGAAGGCACTAACAAATAAAACTACAGATTCCCGTACGGAATATAACGGAATCATTGATAATGTCAGATCAATAATTACAATGAAATTCCCTTAGTTGACAGCGGGGAATAAACCTGTTTCAGACATCACAGAGCTTCCATCAGACAGGGTCAGATAATACAGGTTGAACCTCTCTTAACCAGGACAATCTGGTCTTGCAACATCCCTGGTCCAGAAGTACGATGGATGTTCCAAGACAAGAGAGTCCAATGGAGGGCCGGTGGAGGAGAATCCAATGGAATGGGGCTGGAACCCAGTAGCGGGTCTGCCCTGTGACAGCGAAACTGGAAGCCCAGCAGCAGGGCTGCCGCCTGGTGGTGACACAGGGTGGAGGCCAGGAGGCAGTGAGGTTGCCTGGCAGGGCTGGAGCCTCGCAGAGGGGCTGTCGCCCTGCAGTAAAACAGCTTGACAGGACCTGGAGGCAGGCGATTGCCTGGTTGTGGGGCCAGAAATCTGGCAGCAGGGACATCTGGCACCACAACCAGGAGCCTGGCAGCCCCCACTGCCAGGCAGTGGGGCAGCAGCGTGTTGGGACTAGGAGACAGCAGGGCTGCCCTGCTGGGCTGGGAGCCCGACTGTGGGGCTGCCTGGTGGCAGGGAGGGGGGCAATTGAGTGGCGCAGCAAAGAGTCCATCAGCCCCACTGCTACTTGGTAGACCTACTCAGAGAGGATGCGAGGTAGCAGGGCTGCCCAGTGAGGTTGAAATGCAAGCGGGGCTGCTGCCTAGCAGCAAAACTGGACCCCAGCAAGGGGGCTGCCTTGTGGGGCCAGGAACCCAACAGCAGGGCTGTGCTAAGGGGCTGGCAACAGGGGGCGGAGGGTTGGCAATGAGGCCATGGCTGGGGGACTAAAAAGAGGGGCAGAAATGACCTTCTCTGGTCTGACAAAATCCCTCATCCGGGATCCATTAGGTCCTGACGGTGCCGGACCGCGGAGGCCCAACCTGTAACTGTTTGAGTAGAGATACTGCACCATGACTACTAGACTTCCATTATAACAATTCTCTCAAACCTGTATGAGTTTTGCCCTGGAACAAAGTCCACAAAATAGAAGGCAGGGCAGGAGAGATAAAGAAATGACAGAAAAACTGCTACAACTTGTTCTACAGCAGTGCCGCTAACGTCACAAGAGATAAGTGTCTGGCAGTATTTCTGCTTTCAGAGAGTTACAAATCAATTGTAAAAATATGCTCAAGGCTGCACTAAAATAGACAATATCTGAGCTAAGGAGAGAAACTTGAGACAATATTGAATGCAGAAAAGATTTTATAGATGAGAAGTAGATCTAAAAACTAAAAATCAGGGATCACTGTCAGAGTACTTTGAAAAATAATCTAAAAATAAGTTATGTGCCTAGAAACATAGATGATTGTTACATGCACAGAAAGTTTGAAATCAGAATTTCAAAAGAATTTTAGTCTGAAGTCTTAAGAGTCTCATTCTGATGTGCAGGAACGTCAAGGTCCAAATCCATTAAAAACTAAATAGTGTAACAGGTTTTCTCTCTGATGCATTTAGGTGAACATGTTTTATACACACACTCATTAGTCAGGTAAATTTGTACATTATAGGACATTGGGAGATAAAGAGTGGGGTTTTTTTTAAAACTGTCCTTTCAAAATAAAGATTGCTCCCATATGTCTCTGAGCTCTGAAGCAGCCCTGAAAGTTTTGGCAAGTATCAGCTCCCACAAACAGTAGAGTAGGCAAAAGGTACCAATTTGCCATGGTGTGCTCTCACCAGTCCAAGCACTAAGAGCATGGATGGATGCAATAAAGAGTGTAGATATTTGCATCCATACATTAACATTCTGTGAGCAGAAAAAGTTACCTCTTCCATGCGCTGAATGAGCCGATCCAGCTCTCCAATCCTCTGGTCTTTTTCTTGTATACTTGTCTCTGTAATTTGCATCTTCTTATTTGCCTCCTCAATGGCCTTCAGAAGTCGATTTGTTTCTGCCTTTGAACAAACAGGATTACGTTCATATCCACAAACAACCAATAAGATTGATGAATGAGAAGCTCATTTCTGTGCTTTACAATGGTGTTGGCTTTTTTTTAAAAGTAAACTTCATAAAGCCAATACATCTATGCGCCCAAAAATAAAGACTGCATTTGTAAACCAAATAAGCATCTAGCTATAGCTCCAAATGTGTGTTTTGTGGCACATAAAATTTGGGTTCTCAAAATTGACGAGTTACTTTTAATTTAGGGCTATAAGACTTCTCAGCTATCAGCTTCAAAAACAAAAAAAATATTTTGCACATTCCATGAATATGTGTTCTCCCCTGGGTGGATATAAACACACTCAGTATAGAGAGAAGAAAAATGTGCTACTCCCAACAACAGTATGTTTAGTTACCAAAGCCGGTCACTTTTAACTGCATTTACAGCTATGTCACATTAAGGCTTGAGAGACTGACTTCAGTTGCAGTGACTTCTTGTTATTGACCAGAATGTACAAAACAACATGACCAGAGTGAGCTTTTGTGAGAAAAAAAAAGAAGTTCTCACAAGATTTCTTTACCTATTAAAATCTCAAGAGAAAAAATAATTAATTTATGATTTGCATTTTCTTAGACCAGCAATAGAAAAACTACTTTATTTTCATTTTCATTTTGAAATTTAAATTAGTTTTACTGTCCACTATATTTAGACACGTTCTTTCTTCAGCTATAAAGCTCTAGTGACTATGAAAATTAAAAAGCGGTTGTGACAAGGCATGAAAGGAAAAGAAACTGGGGTGCAAATAAATGTAAGACTTCAATTCTGGTGTTACATTTGTCAATATAATTTAAGGACTGTACTTCAAACACTAAATGCACTGAATGGAAGAACACTCTTAGGCTAGCTGTACATACTATGAGAGTTTCTCTCTCAGCTATATGCTTCTGTTCTTCTTCTTGTAGTTTTTCTTCATACTGACTGTACAGTCTTCTCGTCATCTCTCTCATTACATCAGCATTGGCTTCCTGAGAGCATTCCACCTATAGCAGTGAACAAAATAAAATTTTTAAAGCTGAAACATCTCCAGGTAAGACATTACCAGAGACAAGAAAAACTAAAGTTCAAACAAACTGAAAGGTAAAAAAAAAAAATAGATGTTGATAGTTAGAGCCCTTCACTAATATTGTTATAAAATATACAGGCAGTCCCCGGGTTACATGGATCCGACTTACATCGGATCCCTACTTACAAACGGGGTGAGGCAACCCTGCACTAGCTGCTTCCCCCCAGCAGACCAGGGAGACGCGAAGCTAGCCCTCCCCCCCACCCCAGCAGACCAGGGAGACGTGGAGCAGCTTTTCTCAGCAGACACCTCAGCTTGAGAATAAAGGACTGAGGTGTGGGAGAATAAAACTGAGTTCTGGAGAAATGTTTGGCTAGAGTTTCCCCTACAATATGTACCAGTTCCGACTTACATACAAATTCAACTTAAGAACAAACCTACAGTTCCTATCTTGTACGTAACCCGGGGACTGCCTGAACTCTACTACTAGACATGAAGTCATTTACCCCAAGTGCATAGAGGGGCCTTTAAGTGGACATAAGTTACATTTGTACCAACTTTAGAGCCCCTTCACAATGCCAGAGTTAAAGTGCCATTAGTGTAACTGAGAATCAGGATTGACCTTTTATTAAGCTCTTTGATAACACTGTCACATTATGAAGAACAATTTAAAATTCTCTAATTTTACATGAGTTTAGCTGAGAAATGAGCCTGAACCAAAACCCATATCCAAATGCCTATGAACTTTGCAATGATCAAAATCCAAACCCAATATTTAAAGTTTGAGTACATCTGTGGTGTGTACTGAAATAAAACTAAACGGAAGAGTTTTGTTAGGACAGGATTCTCTTTACTCGCTCTGCTACAAATCTAGAGTTACACCTTTAAAGTCATGTGAGTTATGCTGATCTAAGTCAGAGGAAAATCTAGGCATACAAAACTATTAACTTAGTGTTAATATAGGTATAAATCAGAGTAATAAAAGAAGAAGCAGGCACCTAGTGTTTAATGCTGGAACTCTTAGTGGTCATGATTATAAAAGAGTTCTGTTTTGAGCACCTGGTTATCTTGTTTCAAGGACTCCAAGATTTATCAAAACTCAGTAGGAATAAACTGTTCAAATTTTATTACTCTGTATACAAATAAAAAGATATTTTGTCTTCTAAAGAGGAATAGAGCTCTCTGAAAGATTCCATTTGCACCATAGATGCCTTCTGTGGCATCTCACCCAGACAGATATTTACATTAGGAAAAAAGAGCAAGTTACTGTCAATGCAATCAAAAGGAAGTGAAATTAAATTAATTTTCATTCAAGTATACATGAATGCCCACAGTAACAATAATGTGGCTATAAACAACTAGCTAGAAAACAGTTTGCCTCCTACCCTCCCTAAAAAGTGTTAAAGTGGAATATAATCCCTGTACCACCTCTCCCATATTCCTTTGTCTACAATTTGGGTGGCCACTGCAATAGCTAACAACTTTCTCAAGTGAGAATATAAAAGAAATAATTCTAGTAAACAGAGAGGAACAAACCTAACTGTCAGTAACAAGGGTAGTTGGCAATTTTTGCCTTTTCACAGCCAACCACCACAATACCATAGCCTCTTTTTACACCGCCCCCCTTCAAATTAAAAATCAGATTCTGTGGATGTTTCTGCATGTGACTTAACAAGCAACTTCCTCTATGCCAGCATGTGCTTAAACTTTTAATACATACTGACATTCCATTGATGTCAATGTGCTTGATTAAGCACATGCGTAAGTGCATCACTGAATTGGGGACTACAGGCTGAATTCTGCCCTCAAACTCACTTCATTCTTGGAAAGGACGTGTCCTCAAAATTAGGATAAACTACAAATTTATTTTGAAATCTTGATTTCTTTTCCTCTACTCTCTTCCTTCGGATATTCTTTCCTTCTTTTTATTCTCTACAGACCATAGCAGATCCAAGCAACACTGATAATGATCACAAACCTTGTAATAATATTGTTGAAAGGAAATTAGAACATAAAAATACATTAGTAAGCTGGCACCCTTCCTCCTTGGTTTGATGGATTTCGGCCAGCTATCACGATGCACCAATGCAAGATACAGGAGTACCCAAGAAAATAATCTGTTTTTGACATTTAAAATGTCGGTAAGTCAGTGGTGACCTAATTCCATGGAAGGGGCATAATGTATTTTTAAAAATATTTCTGATGCGGCACAATTGTTTCAAGTTACTTGAAATGCTGTTAACTGCTCTGAAATTATTTAATGGAAACTTCCAAATTAAGACAGTTTCATTAAAAGATCCAGCTGGTGTTTCAGTCTCTTGTGTTTACCTGAAAACCTGTCCCGCAACTAACTTCTCTTTTCAAAGGTAATTTGCTGTTAGGGTGAACCTCTGTTGCCCAATCAATACTGTACATGTGCACAAAACAAAACAGATTTCTGATGAAAAATTGTGAAAGATACCGTACTGGCTGTCAATAATATTCCATGGATGGACTGGTGAAGAACTCTACACAAATATGGCAAAATCTTTTTTTTCCAAGCCATTAATCTCATTGTCTCAGCAATGCCCTTATTTTACAACGTGAATAAGGGGAGATGATATACTGTACCTTTAGTTTCAGAAGCTGATTTTCAACTTGAGCTGTTTCTAGCTGTTTCTGCTTTTCTTTCAGTTTTTCCATGGACTGTTCATGTGTGCATTTTAAATTTCTTATTTGATCTCTTATATCTGTGTTCTCCAAACTAACATCCACTAAAGTTTTCTAAAATACACACAATGAAACACACAATTTGAAGTAATAAAAATAAAAACATTGTGTTTTGACCAACCTATCATAATAGGATTTCCACAACATTTAGAATATTTTAGAGTTTAGTGTTTTGCTGACAGTGTTAACATAGTTAATAGCTTTGGCCCTTCAAAGTTATGGCTTCCAATTATTTGCTTTAACAAAAAAAGTCTCTTCATAGGAGAATGTCCATTAAAATGCAATCCCAGATTTCTGTGACCAAGAGAAAGATATACATGCCTTACAGTGCAAACACCACTTCCATTTTGCATAGTAACACAACTCAAATGAAATTTACTTTTTCCTACATTCTTCTCCTTTCCAAATGTTAAATTTTAAGCTAATATACCAGAAAACACTGATGTTTGGGGGGAAAAAAAATCCACACCTGGGACGTAGGAAGAAAGGAGAATCATGGAGGCTAGCTGGATTGGATGCCAAGCTGAAAATATTTTTTAAACAAGAATAATGACCTTCCTTTGTTTATAGGCGTGGCTACTAAATATCTGTAAAATTTTTAAAAAATTGAAATTTCCAGCAAAAGAAAACAGTGGGACAAAATCATATGATGTGTTATTGGTTTGTAAAATATGGGGGGGAAAAAATCTCCATTTCATATTTAATTTTCCATTAGACAAAGGCCAAGGAATTTCACCAGCTACAGTGGAGTGAAATGACTTTACTATATATTATAATATAGCCTTTTAGCTAGCAGAACTCCTGAATCATTTTTAAGTTCATAATTTATCTGTTTTAAATGTTCTTAATGACATTTGATGGTTAACATCCAAACGTATATCTAACCATCATCAGCCCCTCATGTATACTGTTAAATTGAAAGTACTAAAAGGAATCTAGGTGGCTGTTGGATCAGGCCGTCATCTGTGACTGAGCTATTTACAGCATACCTGTAACTCAATTGATGCTGTTGTCAATGAGGTGTTCATTTCATTGAAGCTATTCAAGGCTGCCGCCTGCACTTCCATGTGGCTCTCTAAGGAATCCTTTTCAGCATTTGCTATCTGAACAGATTACAAAAAGATATAAAAAAATTCTCAAATTTTAAAATGCTCTCAAAAGGATGATAGCTGTCACCATCTTAACACCGAAGAGAGAACACGTTAAAACCAATAGGATTTAGAGGAGTTTGAATCTTAAGAGTAAAGTTTTCTCTATTGAAAAACCTGTTTTAACCAAAAGTTCATTTTAAAAGCTTTAACGTTGGCCTCAGAAGCAAGCTATGGTAAAATATAGAAGCAGTTTTTTTTAGTGTCTTCTCACAGTGTGTGCCATCATGCATATTAACTACAGCAAGAACTCAGGCTCTAACTCTTGTGGTCATGAAAAAAGAACTTCCATCTAGCTAAACTTGGTAGAAAAAAATTCATCCCTGTGAAGAGGGAATTCACCCCTTTCGATATTTAACTGGGACTCAGACAGCACAAAGGCCTTGTACTGACCCTGGGCACAGGACCAAGTATTACCCAGAAAGACCTCCTGCAGAATTTGTCTTTACCTTGAAGATATACTTTGCATACTTTTACATTTTGTTAAGTTTCAAAAAGAAAAGATTTTGGTTTATATAAAACATTGTGTGTCTCTAGAAACTGCTTTGAGGTTCTGCCTCAGGGGTGGGGAACCTTTTACGGGTTGGGGACCACTGAAAAATCAGCAAGGGGCCTCACACAAGTGAGAAACAAAACAAATTAAAAAACAAAACAACAATAAAAAAATCCCACCCAACCCTCACTGACATGGCTCCCAACTGAGGAGAAAGACACTCCCCTTGCACACCAGAGCCTAGGGGGAGCCCAGCCTAATAGATTTTGTGTGCTCCAGCCCAGTGGTCGGGCAGCAGTGGGCTGAATGCCAGTGCGGGCTCCCCAGTTTTTGGGGGCCAGATCTAGGCAAGTTGGGAACCACATCCCAAGCATGAGGTTCCCCACCCAGGTTCTACATGAAAGATGAGAAATGCAAATGTATATAAGAGCATTCCAGCAGGTGAAACAACACTAGCACTCATTTATTGTTATTTAAATAGCATAGTAAATTTTCACAATACTTTAGAGCAGTGTTTCTTAAATTTTTTAAGACCAAGAAACAAGAAACAATTTTTTATGGGGAACACCAAGAATTTTTTTGTTGACCCCCCCCAAAAAAAACCAAACAACAACAACAACAAAAAACACCACACACACAAAAAAGGGAGGCCATTTTGAATTGTGTTTTCTCACGACACACTTCCAACTGCCTCTAAGAAACGGTGCTTTAGAGTATGCAGACCCCAAAACTGACAAAGCTTCTGCCACAAACAGAAACCAAACATACACATAAACAGGCACAGGTCAGCTGTTTTTTAGTTATGTGTGGTCTTCAGTGCACAATTGGACAGGCAGGAGTGGGAGGACGCTTGGAAGCAGTATACTGGAAAAACTGCTTGAGGCATGAGAGGTGAAGAGCAAGAGGACACACAGGAAGTTTTCGAAATAGGTAGAGGCGGCATTGTGGATATGGTGCTGGGAGAAACCAGCTGTCAAGCCAGCTCATCCCCAGCATCAGCTCCTGCTCCTGTCCCGCTCGCTGCCTCATGCAGAGGCAGCAAGGGGGGATGGGGAAGTGAGTAAGTTTACTACTCGCTTACATCACTAGTTAGGAGAGGGTAAAAAAGAAATGGAGCAGCTTAGAGAGAGGCTTGGGTGGAATGCAGGGAGCAAGGCATAGTGTAGGAGAAAATGAGATCAGGAACACAGAGAAGCAGAAAGCTTTGAAGATAAGAAGCATGAGCTTAAATGTTAGCGTGAGCAGTGGGGGAGGAGCCCAACATAAATATTTACTGTGTTTGAATTTTTCAAATGACATACAGAAGAAATGATAAATCAACCAACCATAAGGTGTGTAAGAACACAAAGGAAGATACAGCAGACCAAACAGTATCAATGATGATTAATCAAGGTCTAATCTTATAATTAACACAATCAAACAAGGTCAATGTATAAAATACACAAGCACTGTACACCAATCTTCATAAGTATTTAACAATTTGCATTTACTAGCCAAGCTACACACCAGCTGAGCCAGAGCGCACAGTGGAAGCCAGTGCTCAAGGCTCACAGATAAAAAGCAGCCAGAGAAAGACCGTTCTGGACAGATTGCAGAAGAGATGTGAGACAGGAAGGACCTAGAAGAAAGGTTCAATGACCAAGGTCAGGATTTCACGTGTGCACATGCAAGAGTTTTAGTAACAGGGGGTATGTCTACACTACCGCCCTAGTTCGAACTAGGGTGGTTAATGTAGTCATTCGAAGTTGCAAATGAAGCCCGGGATTTAAATATCCCAGGCTTCATTTGCATCTTGCCGGGCACCGCCATTTTTAAATCCCCATTAGTGCGGACTCCGTGCCCGCAGCTACACGCGACACAGAGTAGGTAGTTCGAATTAGGCTTTCTAATTCGAACTACTGGTACACCTCGGACACGGAGTCCGCACTAACGGGGATTTAAAAATGGCAGCGCCCGGCAAGATGCAAATGAAGCCTGGGATATTTAAATCCCGGGCTTCATTTGCAACTTTGAATGACTACATTAACTACCCTAGTTTGAACTAGGGTGGTAGTGTAGACATACCCTGGGATAAGAATAAGAGACAGTTTTTGAAGATGCTACAGAGAGAGAATATTTATACTAAGGGCCAAGGGGTGATGGGAGAAGAAATAAAAGGATTCTAAAATGTTGTCAAGTGTGGCAGCCTGGGTGCCTACGAAGAAGGTAAAGATGTCAAAAGTGACACATAATATAGGGAGAAAAGGAGACTTAGGGATAAGAAGCTCAGTCTGGGGCAGTATTCTCTCTAAGATTTTTCATCCTTGGGCAGGTTGAATTTTCTTTTGGGTGAGCTGAAATTTCTTATGTGCAACACCAATATTCAGGTGTTGTGTGGATGTGCACCAACCAGTACAAACAAAAACCGTAGATATAAATATATATTTTAATAGGTGTGGAAGAAAATATATTAAAACAAGCCTTAGCGCTGCTTCCTCCCACCACAGCCTAACCTGCTGCTGGGGATAAGGAAGGGCTCCAGCAGTTGCGCTGGGGAGAAGGGGCGGGGCTGAGCTCCCACCACCAATTAGCTTGTCTGCCATTTATGGCATGCGTGTACCATAGGTTGCCAACCCCTGCTATAGAGATTAGGCACACTCTAGGATAATGACACTCAGAAGCTAAAGGCTCCATGAGGATAGCATCAAAACACATATTTAAGTCCCATTAACTTAATATTAAACATATGCTTACATGTTATTCTTATTAACAAGGCTTTTTTGAATCAGGGCCATAGAAAATAATGTTGCAATTGGCATCTATATCTTAATTTTTTAGCCAACCAGTTTTCTGAACTAAACAATTCTGTTTGTATGGATTCAGGTAAGAACAAATTGAATTTTAAGAGTTACCTCCTATAAAGCACCAGACAACAGATTCTTGTTTAACACAGTTTATTTTTCAGCCCCAGGACAGTAGCTTTCCATGATAAACCTTATCCTCCAGTCAGTATTCAAATATTTATCATACATAATCACACAGGCAATACAATCAACAGTAGTATCTATTTACAAAAAGAGGGAACAGGGTGGTTCTTTCCTGTTCCTTTTATATGACCAGACCTGAAAAAACACTCAGCATACGCTGAAAAGCTTCTCTCTCTCTCACCAACAGAAATTGGTCCAATATTACCTCACTCATCTTGACTCTCTAATACTCCTTTACAGAGAGAGAAAGCCTCTGCCTGGTTTTAATTTTGCTTGAAAAATACAAAGTACTGACAACATGAAAAATAAGGAACTTATATGGCACTAAATCATTATTTGTTTCCTGTCACATGCTGTCTTTCATAAAAAAATATTTATAACCTTTTTTAGTTCACCTCTTATAGCATCATTACAAATAAATGTGAACTTACTGTCAATTCACTTGTAAGTTGCTGTATTTTCCGTTTCATTTCACCATACTCGCCATACATTTTCTCTCTTACTTTTTCCAAAGTTGCTCTCACCTGTAACCAGACAAATTCTTTGTTATTCAGCTTTTATTACAAATATAATTTAGATTAGAAACCAGACAACAATGTGCTCCAAAGACCAAGCTGTGATCATCTTTTGCTAAGCCAACATTTGTCCACTGTGACCTCTGTGATACTTAAGTATTTCCCGGGTTTAAGTATCTTATTCAACTGTAGTAGCCAAGACTTTTTAAAGCATGAATTTATAAACATAATTCCATCACTAGATTCCGAAACATAGGCTATTCACCAATTTGATTTTAATATTAAAAATAAATGTAATTAAAAATAACCTCAGATATAAATTAGAACCATCCAATAGTGGAAGTGGAAGGGACCTTGAGAGATCATCAAGTCCAGTCCCCTGCCTTCATGGTCTATATAACCTACTCTTAAATATCTCCAGTGACGGAGATTCCACAACCTCCCTAGGTAATTTATTCCAATGTTTAATCACCCTGACAGTTAGGAAGTTTTTTCTACTATCCAACCTAAACCTCACTTGCAGCAACTTAAGCCCATTGCTTCTTGTCTATCACCAGAGGTCAAGGAGCACAATTTTCCTCCCTCCTCCTTGTACCACCATTTTATTTACCTGAAAATTGCTATCATGTCCCCTCTCAGTCTTCTTTTCCAAACTAAACAAACCCATTTCTTTCAGCCTTGCCTAATAGGTCACATATTCTGGATTTTCAATCATTTTTGCTTCTCTTTTCTGGACCCTCTCCAATTTCTCCATCTCTCTCTTGAAATGTGGTGCTCAGAACTGGACATAATACTCCAATTGAGGCCTAATCAGCGCAGAGTAGATAGGAAGAATTACTTCTCATGGTTTTCTCACAACATTCCTGTTAATGCATCCCAGAATCATGGTTTGGGTTGTTGTAGTTGTATTTTGGGGGTTTTTTTGCAACAGTGTCACACTATTGACTCTCATTTAGCTTCTGATCCACTATGACCCTTAGATCCCTTTCTAGATAATCACTTCCCATTCCGTATGTGTGAAACTTATTGTTCCTTCCTAAGTGGAGTATTTTGCATTTGTCCTTATTAAATTTCATCCTATTTACCTCAGACCATTTTGCCAGTTTTTGTCCAGATCATTTTCAATTATGACCCTATCCTCCAAATTGTTATTTCCTACATATTTTTTCACACTAGAAACAAAATTGAGTTAGTTACATTAACCAAACATGAACAGATTCTACTTCCTAGCTCAAGATTAACTAATGTTTACAAAGAACACATCTAAATATATAAATGTTTGTTTGCATGCTACTTTTCAGACACATAGTTAGAGGTCATCCATATCATTGAGTCATATGATTACCTAGCAGACTGATTAGGTACAATACTATTGTGACCATAGTTAGACCTATACACAGCTGGAGTCAAGAGGCACCTGCATTCATATATATGTATCTAATACTGCTTCAGGGGACTTTAAGGGATGCACTCTCAGAAAGGGGTGATTGCTAAAGGGCTGCACTAGGAACAGGCCCCAAACCATGTCATGCCCTCATTGGAATGTGCACAGCTCAAGTTGTAGAAACTGAAACTTAACTCCAGGTTATCCAGCTCAAGCCCCAGAGTCATCCCACATGGCAACCATCCATGGACACATTCAGCTTTACATAAATAAGAACATTAGAAAAAGGATATTTGAGAACATCCTTTAAAAAAAAAATATGACTCACCTCTTTAATGTAATTCATCTCTTCTTTCACCTGGTTAGCTGACCACCCATAAACCACCATTTCTTTCTTATGGTTATTGTCAGTCCTGTGCACTACACCATACACCATGCCATCAGAGAACTTTCCTGTAGACATTCCATTCGGTACGTGGTGGAGTTGCTATTTAAAAACAAACAAACAAAAACACCCCTGCCTTTTACCCTGAATACTACTAAATACAAAAACAAGAAATTCAAAATAGCAAAAGGGAGCATGCTACAGACCTGCACAGAAAGATACAGAAATTCCTTAGGTCTTTTATTATTCCTTAATTATACAAGTATATACGTTTCACTGGTCTTAACAGTAATAAGTGTATGGACAACTAGGAGACAACACACTGGATTTCTGTGTGAAAGGGAGTAAGGGGCTATTAAAAAAGAATGAATTATTCAAGACAATGACTTACTCAAGTTCATCATTGGGCTTGCTCTTATACACTTGTTTATATGTATGGTTAAGTTTGGCAGCTAGACGTAAATAGATGTGCAAACATAGCCCATAACAGCTGTTTTCCTAAGTCTTGAGTTACTGTCATCTTTTGTTTATAATTTACTTTCAGTCAATATGTTTCTTTTTGCACCTTTTAAAATAAAAATATCCTGGAGGAAATCTAGGAGACTCAATATGTAAGATGTTTTGTTGTTCATTTTAAATTGTTTTAATGAAGATATACTGTACACAAGAGGTGCAGTTTTTACAACTCTCTTAGGTTGTCAGTGCAAGTCTCAATATTTTGCACTATAATTATTAAACTTATGAATAAATGTGGGTCATCTATTCATATGAACTCTGATTTAATATAATTCTAAGGAAACATCTGAAATTGTAACTTTCAATGAAAAAAGAATTCTAGAAACTGCATTTGGACACCGACAGGAGGGAGCAAAAGAGAGGAAGCAGCTGCCCTGCGGCTCAGGATTTGAAAAGGGCCTGGGGCTCCTGGCCACCGCTATTATGACAGCTAGAGGCCTTGCCCCTTCTGGGGGCCCATAGCAATTTGCCCAGGGGCCCAGCCCTTCTGTTGGCAGTACTCCAATGGTTTGATATTTAGAATTAAAAAAAAAAAAAATTAGGATTTGTATATATTTTGTTTACATGTTAAGCAGTTCAGTTCACATTGAAAGCCATTTTTAGCATAATCCTATAGTATCCCAATACTTTACTTCAGGTTCTATTTCTTCTGTAGGATTTAGTAACATCAGTACTCGAAGACGTGAAGTAGGGCAATGAACTGCACAGAATTTGCACTGCATGTGTGTGTTAGGAATGATACCAACTCTTGTAAGAACTTTGAACATGTTCTGGTAAGTAAAAGTAGAGAGGAAATTAAATTTTTTAAAAAAAGTATGTATGTACATGCCTCAATTTAAGACACACAGTGTGTCCCCACTAGATGGAAAACGCGGCCATCTTTGGCAGGATAGCTTCCAGCCTGGCCACCAAAGGCCACATGTGAACCCAGAAGCAGGTCTGCATGACAATCAAGTTGATCCGGCGAGACCCCCAACCCTGAGCTTCCCCTTCCCCTTCTTCCCCTTGCTTCCCCCTTCTAACTCCCTCCTCCCAGGTTTTCTCCTCCCCTCTCCCACCCTCCCTTCTCCCCTCTCCCTCTTCCCTTCCCCAGTCTCACCAGAGTTTCATTCCCCTCCCCTCAGTGTTGTTAAATAAAGAGTTTGTGTTCATGAAAATACGTGTATTTTATTTGACATCAGGAAGGGGGATTAGGGAGGGGTAAGTGGAAGGACGTGAGGGAGGAATGAGGCACAAGCCCCCAGTGGAGCAGACCAGGGAGGTTTAGTGCTCCTCAGGGTGGAAGCTCTCCCACAGGGTCTCCTGGATACTGATAGCCCCCCCAATGGACCTCCCAGATGGCAGCCAGCAGAAAGTGCAGCGAGGCTTGCAGCAACGCATCCATGAGAAGCACCAGAGTGCCCAGAGGCAGCTCTGACTCCATGTTGCAGAGTGCCGTGGTGTCCTGACTGAGGACAAGCAGAGCACACAGAGACAAAATGCTTTGCTGTCCCTCATTGAGGTAGGCAAGCAAGCAGGGAAAGCTGAGAACCGGCTGCCAGGGAGGGGGAGGTCCCTTTTAAGCACAGGCCTCAGATAGCCTCAGGCAGCAGCCACACAAAGTAACTTCTGACCTGATGCCCTGCCAGACCTGGTTCCAGCTGGCCTTAAATGCGATTCAGCATCCACTCAGCTATTTTGAAATGCACCGTGTGTGTAGACGCGTTATTTCGAAATAAGCTATTTTGAAATAACTATTTCAAAATAAGATATTTCAAAATAATGCTGTAGTGTCGCCATACCCTAAGGCTGTGTCTACATTGGCATCCCTTTCCGGAAAAGAGATGCTAATGAGACACTTCGGAATTGCAAATCCGCGGGTGATTTAAATATCCCCGTGGCATTTGCATTCCGGTGGTTTTTGCTTTTCTCTGGCTGCCACTTTTTTCCGGCTTGGGGATAAGCCGGAGAAAAGCGCCAGTCTAGACGCGATTCTCCGGAAAATACTTGAAAGTAGGAATAAGAAATCCTTCGGAAAAGGGCTTATTTTCCGGAGAATCGCGTCTAGACTGGCGCTTTTCTCCGGCTTATCCCCAACCCGGAAAAAAGCGGCAGCCATGTAAATGCAAATGCCTCGGGGGATATTTAAATCCCCCACGGTTTTGCAATTCCGACGCGTCTCATTAGCATCCCTTTTCCGGAAAGGTATGCCACTGTAGACGTAGCCTAAGATCTTAACAGTCACCATACTAGGTCAGACCAAAGGTTCATCTAACCCTATATCCTGTCTTCTGACAGTGACCTATGTTCTTATGTTCTATAAAATAATGAATGGTATGGAGAAATGAATACGGAAATGTGATGTAATCCTTTACATAACACAGAGAACCAGGAGTCACCCAATGAAATTAATAGGCAGAAGTTTTAAAAGACAACCAGCAGGAAGTATTTCTTCATACAAAGCACAATCTCTGGAACTCGTTAACAGGGGATGCTGTTAAAGCCAAATGTACATCTGGTTTCAAAAGAAAATGGTGTACAGGTCCATGGGGATGCATCACTAGATAGCTTGCCCTGTTCATTCTCTTTGAAGCATCTGGCTCTGCCCACTGTCAGAAGATAAGGCATTGGTCTACACTGATCACTAATCTGATCCTATATGGCCCTACTTATGTAAATTCAGCACAAGATAACACTGAGCATGGAAAATTTCACTCCATATGGTAAAAGTTTCACAAAGTGTTTATTTATATATATTCTCTCTCTCACACTCACACACACACACACAAAATGTTGGGCAATCTTACTAAAAAAACCCCAGTGCTAACAACTTCATCTACTACACAAACACACATGTATGTTTATAGTTGCACTACACTGTGCAACTATAAACATACAACTCCACACTAAAAATCACATACAACTTTGTGTCTTGATAACCAAAGCTACATAATCACATACTACTGTACCCATCATTTAAGACACATTTGCTTTGTTGAAAACACAGAGAAATCAAGCTTGTTTTACAGGAATTGGGTGGAACATGACTCAGGACAGGCTTTTAATTTCCTGAGTTGTACCATTCATTCGGTCGTTGCATATCAACTACACCCTTAAATAATTACTTGCATTATTACATTAAAGAAAAATTTCCGTCTTCCAGAAACCCAAGACAATAATCTTTTCAATTATGGCAAATTACTTTAGAAAATAATACACTTATAAGGATCTGAACATTATCCAAGGATCAGATACTGCCTAGAATTGCAGTTTTCAAAGTCACACAATTGGTTCATTATAGTTTCAGTGGAGCTATGGTAACTTAACTTTTGAGCTCCAGCAACAAAATATGTTTGGTTCTCCAAAATGGTATAAGACTCATTTTAAAATATTGCTTATAGGCATTAACATGGAGATTATACATCGCGCACTACAAATAACTGATTTTTTTCTCAGTTTGCTGATAGTCCCAAAAAGACAGGTTTGACAAAGTGAAATAAAAAAAATTGCTGAGTTTTAAAATTCTTGTTTTAAAAATTAAATAGAGGATATTAACATGAAATTTATGAATATGAAAGTGTGGAAACAAAATGTTTAGACTTTTTTCTTGCTTGTTTTCAATAGAAACAATGCAGTAAATTCAACACAACCTCATGAAATGTTTGGGTTGACCCAAATGTTCATTTTTGCTAAAAACATTCTCAGCTGGAAAATTTCAACCACCTCTAATTATAAACTTTCAGGTCACAAGTAGCCTTTTCCTATGCCATGCAATATATTTGTGCAGAATACCTTGGAAAGATCTTTTCTGCAAAATATGAAGAAGTTAATTATGTAGTAATGATGATTCTTCAAGATGTGTGTTCCTGTGGGTGCTCCACTCAGGTGTCGGTGCATCTTCATGCTGCTAATCAGAGGTTTCCCCCCCCCCCCTCGCAGTGCCTTTCCCACCCTGCACGTGCAGCTGCTGTCTCATGCTGCTGTGTCCATTAGCTGCATTAATGGCACAGACCCCTCCATTCCTTTTCTGTCAAGGAATCAATTGACGGACTCCAAAGTAGAGGGGAGGAAGGAGGACCCACGGGTCGTGGAGGACCCACAAGGACACACATCTTGAAGAACCATCATTACTGCACAAGGTGAGTAATTTCCCCTTCAAGTGGTGTCTCTGTGGGTGCTCCACTCAGGTGACTATAGAGCAGTATCCGCGCAAGACAATGGTGGGCTTTCGAGTTGTGACTGGTAGCAAGGACAGTCCGGCCCACAGACGTAGTGAGAACTGGTCCCTGTTGTAATGCATAGTGCTGGACAAATGTGTGATGAGATGACCAAGTAACTGCTATGCAGATGTCCACCAAAGGTATATTATGGAGGAATGCTGTAGAGCCGCAATCGCCTGGGTTGAATGTGCTGTGATCTCTTGAGGGAGGCATTTGTTGCGAAGATCATAACAAGCATGGATACAGGACAATATCCACTTAGAGATTCGCTGTGCGGACACAGCTGACCCTTTAGAGGGGCCAACAATGGAGATAAAGATCTTGGTGGATCTACAGAAAGGTCTCATCCTGTCAAGGTACAATGCCTTGAGTTAAGCGTTATGGGGA